TGGATTTTATCATAGTTAAAATTTTGTGAAACAGGCCACTGATTACTAACAATTTTAACAGACTAATACATATTATGTATATAACATGACGACTTTGATCTGTTCGTGTCATATATTTTCATTTATAAAAGTTAAGGATATCAACTTTACACTTTATGGAGAAACAAGTTACACATGTAATGCCACGCAAATTTCAATTTTGACCTTCTATGACACCTATTAAAAATTATGCTTCGTATTTCTTCAGGAAAAGAATTGATTTATAAAGAAAAAGTACTTGGTTACAATTTTTAAAAGCTTTAAGTTTCAATTTTTTTAGTCTTTATATTTTAAACAAATCATTCTTCATGAGAGAGAGAGAAAGAGAGAAATGGGAGTTTAAGTCCACTCGACACAAACTAGGTCATTTCGGGACTAACATATGGTGCAATTTTATTTCAATAATTAGCTTGCGCGTAGGGGTCTTTACCAATGGGAGGAAATCGGAGGACCCAGAGAAAACCCACAAGGTCATTCTTCATGAGACACAAGTGACCATTTATGTGAATTTGAAGAACTGGATACTAAAAATCTATGTTTTGGATGATTTAAAATGTACTTTACAAAAAGAAAAGATAATATTTTAGTCAACATATAACATATCATTAACAACATTTATATATATTCAACAATACAATAACGATATAATTCACTTTTCTTCATATTAGAATTAAAAACTCTTTATAAAGTTTCGAAATAAGTCCATGGATGATTGATAAATGACTGGATGCAATATGGTTTACAGATGAAATCGTTATGTTTTACACTGTACGTACATCGATGTAGAAATAATATCTCATAAATCGTAATCTTTCCATAAACTAAAATAGAAAAACAAAATACACATTCAAATGAAAGGAAACGAAAAGAGAGAGAGAGAGAGAGAGAGAGAGAGATGGGGTTTAACTCCACTCGACACAAACTAGGTCATTTCGGGACTAACATATGGTTTAATTTTATTTCAATAATTTGCTTGCGCGTAGGGGTCTTTTAGCAGTGGGGGGAAATCGGAGGACCCGGAGAAAACCAACGAGGTTGGACAGGCGACCCTACGCCTTGTCACATACAACCGGGGAATCGAAACCATGCCCGTTGACTCAATGACAGACTTTATGATACAGCGCCCAAACGCTAACCATTCAGCCATCTTACCCCCGCCCCCAAAACGAAATGAGTTTAATCTTACAATATGTTTTGTTGGATTTACTTTTATTGTCACATGTGCAAGCCTGGACATAAGGCACCCAAGGTGTACCCGTGACCTCAGTTTTCATCCTATCCGAATGACAGATGTTGTTCCTTGCCAGGCCCTCCGTCCTGCACCACTAACAAGATGAAACCACAATAGAAAATTCCAACACCACGATCAGGCCCAGGACCTGATTAACCAGCTCCTTACCCATTGAGCCACCGTGGCTACCTAAAGTTAATGGACAATCTGATTAGAATACAGATCTATATTTTGTTTCGTTTTTTTATACATTCGATGAAGATCTGACCAATTGTACTTGGATGTCGCGTCAGGGGTCATACGAGCGCCTTTTGACCTTATGACGTCAGACATTGAATAATCAATCAGCGTTGACGTTTCTAGGGGTTTACCCACAGTTCCGTGCAGAGCATGCCAAGAAATCACCATAACAGATCGTTTCATTGACTAATTCCTCACATCAACTAAGACGCCTATTATATAACAACTCTTCCAGATCCTAGTGTTGTGAATGCAAGTAATACAAAATTTTGAACAATAAAAAATAGGATCTGTGTTTTAATCAGATTGATTATATAAAATATATTTAATATTGGATAAAGTTATCTCACTTTTGTTTATAATTATCATCATCAGCATGTAGTTGTAAGAGATTATAAACAGATTGTGGTGGATTCAGACCATGTTTCTCAGCACGAGACCATCTCTCTAAACGACTTATACCTGAAATATATACACATATTAAACATGAAACCTGGCACAAAAATATACCTGTCAGTTTCACATGATGTGGATAGCTCTCCTGCTCAACAGGCAAAAATATTAAAGATACATTATAGGAGATTAGCAATCTGATTAAAACACAGATCCTATTTCGTTTCGTTTTTTATAGTTCAAAATTTTGTTTTACGTGTCTTTACTACGCTAGGATCTGGAAGAGTTGTTATCATTAACGTGTTCTGGATGGTGTGAGGTATTAGCCAATGAAATGGCCTGTTACGGCAAGCTTTAGGCATGTTTTGCACGGAACTGTGGGTAATCCACTAGTAACATCAATGCTGATTGGTTAATCAAATGTCTGACATCATAGGTCAAAAGTTGGTCTATGACCTCTGACGCGACCTATCGCTACAACCGGTCAGATCTTCATGTAGTGTAGGCCATCGAAAGTATAAAAAACAAAACGAAATATAGATCTGTATTTTAATCAGACTGGGAGATTAGATAAAGAGCTGGCAGTTCACACTATAATAGTTTAAAACTAGATAATGTAAAGGGAATTTGCTGAAAATTTCAGTCAAACTGATCCACTCTGAACCGAGAATTTAGCGATTGAATTTTCGGCCTAGCCTCGATCATCTTTTCTAAAGTTGGTACGATAAAAAACATAGTCTCGATTATCCATTTCATGATTTAATCATGAATGAAAGTTGAGCAGAAAATCAGATCCTAATCCAGTAAATATCGCAGGCTAACGATGACAGAGAGTTGATTATGGTCTGGATAAGTTAATTAATGTCTAATGAATAATTTAGGTAACATTTCAGGCCTAATTTCTGTTATCTCTTGATCTACCCTACAATTTTTTTTTTACTCTTGATAAAGTTAATGATTTAAAAAATAGTTAAACATACATTATGCAAGCGCTAAATCTGCCTATTGCAGGTCTTTCTTTAGGCCAGAAATATTATCTAAGTTATTAATTAGACATTAATTAACTTATCCAGAACATAATCAACTCTAAATCTGCCTATTGCAGGTCTTTCTTTAGGCCAGAAATATTATCTAAGTTATTAATTAGACATTAATTAACTTATCCAGAACATAATCAACTCTCGATGCCATCACTAGCCTGCGATATTTACTGGATTTCAATACATTTGAATACATTTTATGTTATCTATTTTTTAACTATTATAGCGTGAACTCTCAGTTCTTTATCTAATCTCCCATAATTCCCCTTTAATCATCTTTTCTTGCAGAGGTTCGTAGTTTTTATCCAATATAACAGAACAATGTATCCCAACACCCTGAATTGTAACAATGCTTTACAACACCGAAACATCAGTGACTGGAATCCAAGACTTTGTTTGGCTTTTGACAATGTGAATCAGCCTGTTTTCAAACTTTATGTTGAACTAAATATGTGTTAAATTACCTGTACAAGGCCCATATTCAAGTGTTAAATCAAATGATTTGAGCAGTTCAATATCTCTCTCAAATTTAGATGCTGATGTGCTTGGTGCTGAATCTACAAAGAAATAATTAACAGTGTACAAAATTGCACAATAAGAAAAAATCAAAGAACATTATGCAGATTGTGTATGTATATACAAGTCAAGATTCATTTTGTGGTGCCCAAACATATGGTCTGTAATTAACTTCATTCCCAGTTTACATTAAATGTAGGCTACCATAAAAGACTAACACGTGGTTCAATTTTATTTCAATAAGTCTCTTGTGGCTAGGGGTCTTTAGCACTGGGAGAAACCTGAGAAATGAAATGAAATGAAATGAAATGGGGTTTAACGTCCAACTGTTCTTCTCCTATGCTGGGCTAATAAAGACGGCCATACGCCATACAGTGTGCTATGAGGGAAATTTTGCCCGGGCAGCGGCACTAGCGCCTACTCTTATATTGAATTCCAATTGCCAAGGGATCTTTTACGTGCATTCCAGTGTATACACGGGACATCGGTTGTTCGTTTCATCCGAAGGACTAGACATCTGTTTTTTCTTAGGTCCTTCGTCCTGCACCACTAACAAGGGGAAAATTAACCAGTCGAAACCGCTATTAAATTAATATAGAGCGAAGCTCTACAGCATCGCGCAAAGCGCGGTGCTTGAGCAAAGCTCTTTTCCGGTAACACAGGAGCGTAACTGAAATTGTCACTCACAGACTGTTGATTAAAAAAAAATTCAGACCGGAACCGGATACACTGGGCAAAACAGGCAATGCGCATGTCAACTTACCAAATCTCACCCAAGCGAGATTACGATTACGTGCCTCATAGAACTATTTCTATGACGCATCTAATCAATGACATCACATATTTTTGACGTCAATGAAAATAATTCTCACACTTTTTTGTTCTTTTTTAAAAAACAAAATTAATGTATACAATTTAGATCTAAATGAAAATCAATTTGGAAAAACTAAATTATTTAACATTTTTTGTATCACTTGAGAAAATTAATTATGAAGGTTTTATATTTGACAATAATCAGCTTCGCTCTACTCAGGCAATGCCTGTTACATATTAATTAAATATTACCGACCTGTTTCTGTTTTGGTGTCTGCTGATTTCGATGAATTCCTCAATACTCTTTTCGTCTGTTTATATGTATCGGTTACTAAAGTATTGGACATATTGCTGAAATACAAACAACGACCCGCTGTCTTTGATTGAGATTTCTGATCTGATTAATTATGCTGAGCGTTGCACAAGTGTCAAAAATAACAACAACGCCACGCTATAAACAACCTTGACCTTTTTTAATAAATATAGACGCCGTTTTCATGACGTCTTCGGAACTTTGCGTGATTTTATATCGCTTAATATATTATAGTCAAAATAGATGCTATAGGGCGAAACTATACTGAAAGGTATTTTTTTTTTGCATAATCAGTTGAATAAAAAAATACTTGAGTAAAAGTCAAAGATCAAATTTTCATTTCTGACTAAATGTTTTACTGTCCAAGGGAGGTAAATTCAGTAATTTAACTGAGAGTTACCCCTTAGATCGTGTCTTCATAATCTAGTCTACAACACGTAAGACAAGTTTTGTCTGCAGAAGTAAACGTAATAATAGCCTTTAAAAATTTCAACAATGGCTGAAGAATTAGTCAACAATAATTCGATTCCTGTGATAGCCGTAACAGCAGCTGTAGGAGCTGTTGTCTTTCTGTTTTTCCTGCTTTGCAGCATTGCCAGGAAAGGCAATAAAGACGAGGCGGAAAATGGTGAAAATGAAACTATTTTTATTTTAAATTTCCTCTTTTTCATTTTATTTATTTAGATCTAAATCTATTTAAAAAAAAAACAAAAAACAGATTGAGGAATAGGCATAGCCTGCATGACCTCTCCCCAAGATAAAAGAAATAGATATATTATATAAAAGAAATAGGTCAATGAACAAAACAATATAAACTGTGGTGTATAGCTAACTCAGTAACTGTCATGGACGGGATGATTTATCTAAGAAATGTCAACCTTACAAATCATTATGCAATATATGAATGATACTATGCAAAAAAAATAATTAAAGATGCATTATGGGAGATTAGATAAAGAGCTGGCAGTTCTCACTATAATAGTTAAAAAATAGATAATGTAAAGGGAATTTGCTGAAAATTTCAGTCAAATTGATCCACTGTGAACCGAGAAATTAGTGATTGAATTTTCGGCCTAGCCCCGATCATCATTATCGTAAGTCGGTACGATAAAAAAACGTTATCTCGACTATTCATTTCATGATTAAATGATGAATTAAAGTTGAGCAGCAAATCTGATCGTAATCCAGTAAATATCGAGAGTTGATTATGGTCTGGACAAGTTAATTAATGTCTAATTAATCATATAGATATCATTTCAGGCCTAAAGAAAGACCTGCAATAGGGTGATTTAGCTCTTGCATAATGTATGTTTAATGTATCTAATTATTTTTCTTCTTCAGAAAATCAAGATGAGGTCACAAAAACCGAAAAATCTTCTGGTGGAAAACATAAAGATAGTCAGAAAAAATCTAAATCAGGGGATAAAGGAACTTCAAAGAAAAATGTATCGAACAATTTTAGCCACCCATGGTTGTCTACAACTTTAAAAGGTCATACAGGATCAGTTACTTGCATGGATTTTAGTCCAAATGGAAAATATCTGATCTCCACAGCACAAGGTAGGCCTATCTATATGTATATGGGAGCCATGGTGGCTACGTGGATAAGATGCTGGCTCGCTAGCCTGGACGTCGGTCGGGTGTTTAATCTCTGCATCAGCCGAGAAAGTTTATCAGGATTTTCCGATATGGTTTCCTCTTGTGAGTGGTGCAGGACGGAGGGCCTGACAAGGACAGCTGTCTATTAGATTGGATCGGACAAAAAACCAAGGTCCCGTGTATACATTGGTAGGGTGTCCCATGTACTCACAGAAATACAGTCCACCGCTGATAGTTTGAGACTACCACTGAAGCGTGCACATTCGCCGTGCCGAGACCAACTTTCTGACAGTATGATACTATAAATAGCCATGGCACGTGCAATTCTCTACAAATCTATCAACTATTACAGCCGTAAAAAATTTATTGTTGACGATTTTGAATAGCAGTTAAATTAAGCTTCTTGGTTATTACAGCAGATTTAGAAATTACGTTCGTTTCATTTTTTAAATCGCTTTATCATTAACTGTACCGTTAAGAGCGGCATCTTTTGGTTTAGTACAAATGATATCTCTGAATCACTCGGGTTAGGCAGGAACATGATACTAGCAGTAGTTTCATTTTACTTTTACAAGCTTCTTAAAACGATTGTTGAGCTACCTAACGTGCTTATTTCTAAATTCAATTTCTTGTTCTAGCTTTCTGTTACATTTCGTAAAAAAGTAGTCTTGATTATCCCGACCTGTCAATCAGACGTAGAATGGTCGATAGACTGGTTAAGCGAGACTAATTTCAAAAGAAGGGCACGTAACCTATCTTTTACTCAAAAGTGTCTGGATGTTATGGACGACTCTTGGAACCAGTTTTCAGTCTATTATTTATACATGATTAATGGTCATAGCTTATGAAGTACAACATGATCGTTTATTTAGTGACTATAATTGTGTGAAACTGATTAGAGGCTTGGCATATATATAAATATTGTGGTGTAATTGTCGAGATATATGGAGATATTTATTTATGTTGGGTCACCCTAACATTGGAATGCATGTAACAGATCCCTTGGCAGTTGGAATTCGATATAAGAGTAGGCCATAGTCGGAGCAGAACAGTAGGACGTTAAACCCCATTCCATTTCATTTCCATGCATGTATAATGCAGGGTTCCTGTTTCAGTGCTTTCTGAGCAGAGATGTGGTTTCAGTCATAACTGCTTGTTGTTACTGGCAGTGAAATTGACAGACTGGAAGACTTGCTTGTCAGTCAAGTTACATATCATAAAATTAGAATTACAAAGATAGAATTAGGACGATAATAAAAAGCAGGGAGATAAAAAAACCCAGACAGGTTGATAAAATGGATAACAAATTTCGGCCACATTGTGTCATTACATGTACTTTATCTTGAAATAATTTTTATGTGCATTTATTCCCAAATCAAGTTGCATAATTTTGCTACCATAGTGATTGCTCAGCAAGTCTTCGAGCCTGGAAATAAGGCACATGTCACAGACAATGTCAGGCACAGATTCAGGCACTGTCAGACACAAAACCTCTGGTGCCTGTCAATCTTTTGGCACTGATTTGTCTTTTTTATTGATATTATTAATACATGTCCGGCACTAAGTTGAAAATGTCAGGTACTATTTCACTAGTGCCTGACATTTTGTCAGGTACATAGAAAACCATGAGTTTCCAGGCCTGCAAGTCTTTAATGCATTATCTTACTCTTTTCTACATGGCTGAAACAACATGGAGGTGTAAAAGGCTTTACAATTAAATTTTATGCAATTTATTAGTTGAATTTCTTAATGTTCATGGTATTCTCAAAAAGACAAATTAAAAAAATATGTACATATGTGATAGGTTTTCTCTAATTATTTTAAATTGATCTTTAAGTGTTTATTTGATTTTTATATATTAATTTTTACAGATAGATCAATATTTTTATGGAGTACGAAAGAATTTCAACAAAAGGTTCATAAGTAGGTGTCACAGATGTTTTTATTGTATCAATCTATCTATGTATTATTTCTTAGATATTGTTATTTTATATTAGCTTATACAAGTAGCTGTTATTATTATATGATAAGGAGGTTTGGGTGGCCAAATGCTGTAAGATGTGTGCGTAAGATCATTTAGATCTGTCATTGCGTCAAGTTACATGGTTTTGATTCCCAGCTTGTAAAAGTCAAACCTTGTTGGTATTCTCTGGGTCCTCCGGTTTCCTCCCACAGCTAAAGACCTCTATGAATTATTGAAATAAAATTGAACCATATGTTAGTTCCATATGTGTTTTAAGTGGACTTTGAACCCAATCCCTCTTTCTTTCTTTAATTCTTTATTTCAATTTTTTGATATTAGCTAATACATGTAGCTGATATGAACTGATATTAGCTAATACATGTAGCTGTTACAAATTGATATTAGCTAATATATGTAACTGTTAATAACAGTGTTATGAACTGATATTAGCTAATATATGTAGCTGTTATGAATTTATACTAGCTTTATTATGCATGTAGCTGTTACGAATTGATATTAGCTGATACATGTGGTTGATATTTATTGATAATAGTTTATACATGTAGTTTATTCTTTAAATGGCATTTAGTAATTGGAACATAATCAAATAACACACTATTTATGGATAACAATTACTGTGGTTTATTTCACTGCGACGTTTCAACAAGATTTCACAAGTCGTTATCAAGCATATAACACAAATAAATAAAATGAAAACAAAATAGCTATATATATATACACGAGCAGTGCGAACCCTCCAATGGGATGCAAAATCAGCAAGCATGAACAACTGTCCCAAGCCGTTAAATAAACAATGTACATAGATGGTTATAAACTGTAATTGGTATAGATAAGTGCAAGAATGAAGCCAAAGGATCAAACAATTATTAGCAGGTATAATGAGTCACGAGCAACTGGTCCTGACTGTAAAAACATATTAAATAAATCTATATATATATGTATACAGTAATTAGTTATAGATGAAAGTAATAATAAAAGATGAAAGGACAAGTATTATGGGGGGTGAAACTGAAGCCATAAGCAGTTAATCCTAACAGTGAAGGCAGTATGCAGTAAAGCAAATTGTAATTGATTTGAGGAGATGTACAAAGTTAAAAGCAATACAAATATTAAAATTAAAGGATAGTCCTGCATCACTGACTAGGGGGAACCGTGCCGGAAAATCTGGATGAACTTTCTCGGCCAATTTAGGGATCGAACACCCGACCTCCAGGCTAGCGAGCCAGCGTCTTACCAACTTAGCCACGTGATCCCCGAAAAAAAAAATTGTCACAAAGTGATACAGTCATAAATATACAAGTACTTCTGAACATATTTTATTTGTCTTAAACAAGAGATTATTATATTGTTTTTTTATTATTTTTTTTAGACTTATTCGTGGAAATGTTGACTTAGATGAAGCAACTCACATAGCCTTCAGCCCTGATTCCAGGTGAGATTAATATTTCTTTGAATTTAAGATCATTATTTGTTGCCCTCGAAAACCTGAACGCCATCGACTCGAAGATAACTTTCATTTTAGAATAAAATGCATGTAGCTCTGATAACGACCTGTATTTGTATAATATAGTGGGTTGGATGGCCGAATGGTTAGCGTGTGCACACTGTATCGTAAGGTCTGTCATTGAGTCAACTGTCATGGTTTCGATTCCCCGGGTTTGTGTTGAGTGGACATTATGTTACCTGTATAGCATTGTGTAGAAACACCTATGTTGATACCTGTAATTTACGGTGCTAACACGTCTCATATTTATTTACAGGGCTTTTGTTGTAAAGTTGGAGAATGAAAATACTCTGAGAATTTTTCGACTTGGGAAAAAGGATGATGGCAGTGCCGTCACTATGACACAGGCACTAGATTTCCCTAAAGTAAGTTTAACTTTATCTTAGTCCAGCAGTCTCAAGATAGAACGACACCATACACAATGTGCAATTTTATACCACAGTTAGGATCTGTCATTAATTAGCCCAATTAGTGCGGGAAAGTAAGACATTAAACCTCTTCATTAACTTATAACTTGGAAAACATGCCTTTATTTTTGCTGGTCCGTTTCTATGGAATAGACTACCACAGTCAATTAGACAATCACCATCTGTGGGCCATTTTTAATCTCATCTCAAAACATTCTTATTTCAAAACCCTGATCTGTAAATAATCAGTGAATATAAAACCAACAACACCTTAGAAACTATTGGGTTTTTTTTCAGTATTAAGACGCTTTATAAATGTCAATATTATTATTATTATTTCATTTCTGTCTATATTTAGATGCAATTTATAATTTTTAAAGATAATAAATGCCATTGTTAAAACTGCAGAAACTTATAAACATTCTATTAATTCTAAAAATATTTGATTTTTATATCTGTTAGTTTTGTCTATAATTATGAATGATTGATTTTCTTATCCCAGAAACATACAGCAGAAATAATTAGTCTGGCTATAGCTAGTAATGGAAAGTTCATCTTGACCTGTTTTGATGATACTAAAATTATACTCTGGAATATTAAAGGTAACAAAATTTTATAACATTAATTTTTACTTTTCTAGTCCAATGTTTCCTGGGGGGGGGGGGGGGGAGGGAGGTGGGATGGCCGAATGGTTGTTTCATAAGATCTGTCATTGAGTCAACTGGCATGGTTTTGATTCCCTGGTTGTACGTGACAAGGAGTAGGGTTGCCTGTCGAACCTCATGCGTTTTCTCTGGGTCCTCCAGTTTCCGCCCACTGCTAAAGTTTTCTCTGGGTCTTCCAGTTTCCTCCAACTGCTAAAGACCCCTACGTGCAAGCGAATTATTGAAATAAAATTGAACCATGTGTTTTTCCCAAAATGACCTAGTTTGTGTCTCTCTCTGCAATGTTTCCATCAGTCCATTTTGAAGTTGAATTGAAGTGATGGATAATTATTTATGTAAATGTTATTTTATATAGGTGAAGTAATGGATAACTATTTATGTTATGTTGTTTTGATGAAGTGATAGATAATTATTTATATAAAAGTTATTTTGTTTAGGTGAAGTGATAGATAATTATTTGTGTTTATGTTATTTATGTGAATGTTATTTTGTTTAGATGAAGATAATTATCTATGTTTTTTTGTTTATTAAGTGATATATGATTATTTATGTTATTTTGTTTAGGTGAAGTGATATATGATTATTTATGTTATTTTGTTTAGGTGAAGTGATAGATACTATAGATACAAGAATGATGCATAATTATTACGCTACTATTTCACCATGTGGACGATTTGTTGGAGTTTCAGGTAATTACTGTAAAACAATTTATATTTCATGAAAAACAATTTTTATGTCATGAAATAAATACTGCCTAACAATAAAAAATATTAGTATATCTGTCTGTCTGTTAAGGGTTGGCGCCTGCCCCAAGGCTGAAATTTGGTGTATGATGGCAACTTGGACCAGGGAGTAACAAAGGCCAGATGGCGAGGGTCTATCACTTCCGATTTTGGAGTTATGCTACCTCAAGTTCATGGCTATACCGTTGTTATGTTGGGTCAACCGCTAGTACTGAACTAAATTTGATCAGTTGTATCATAGTCAACCGCCAGTACTGAACTAATTTCGGTCAGTTGTATCTTAGTCATTTGAGATCCTGGTAACCGTTTTTGTGTCTGAGTGACACCTGCATTTTATAATCTTTAAAGATAAATTATGGGAGATTCGATAACGAGTTGTCAGTTCTCACTATAATAGTTAAAAACTAGATAACGTAAAGGCAATTTGCGTAAAATTTCATTCAAATTGATCCACTATGAACCGAAAACTAAGCGAATGAAATTTCTGCCTAGCCTCAGTCATCATTACTAAAGTCAGTACAATAAACAGCATAGTCTCTATTATCTATTTAATCGTTTAATCGAGAAGGAAAGTTATGCAGTAAATCGGCTCACAATCCACTTAAGATCGCAGGCTAGCGACGCCATCTAGAGTTGATTATGGTCTGGATAGGTTAATTAATGTCTAATTAATAATTTAGATAACATTTCAGGCCTAAAGAAAGACCTGCAATAGACAGATTTAGCTCTTGCATAATGTATGTTTAAGTAGCATAATGTGATTGAAGATCACTTTAAAGAAAACACAATTTTTATGGAAGATCAACCAATGGTTTTATTTCAAAACCACAATGTTTCGATAAAGCATCCTCTTATCGTTATCAAGTACAATTACACAATTCATTGGCTTGATAACAATAAGAGAAAACTGTATGATTTCCCATAAAAATTGTCTTCTGTTTGACCTGTATTTTATGATTATGAGGTCTCTGGCATGGTTTGAACATAAAACTGGTAGGCTTGCCTGGTTTCCGCCCCACTGCTAATGGCCACTGTGATCATGCAAATTATTTAAATATATGTTAGTCGTAAAATGGGTTTGGATGGCCGAATGGTAAGCACGTGCGTGCTGTATCGTAAGGCCTGTCATTGAGTCAACTGGTGTGGTTTCAAATCCCCAGTTGTATGTGACAAAGAGTAGGGTCGCCTGTCCAACCTCGTGGGTTTTCTCCGGGTCCTCCGGTTTCCTCCCACTGCTAAAGACCCCTACGCGCAAGCGAATTATTGAAATAAAAAATTAAACCATATGTTAGTCCCGAAATGGCCTAGTAGTAGTTTGTGTTAAGTGGACGTTAAACGCGATTTCTCTCTCTCTCTCTTTCTCTCTAGTCCTAAAATAACCTATTTTTGGGGGCTGGACTTTTAAAGTGATTAAGCTTAATCTTTCTCTCTCAAAATGACAGACAAAGAGGTTGCAGGAATGTTATTGTTTATTGTCAGTATTTTTTTGTATATGATGTTTGTCCGTTTTCAGGGTTTACTCCAGAAGTTAAAGTATGGGAAGTTATATTTGATAAAGGAGGAAATTATAAAGAATCGAAGAGAGCTTATGAACTCAAGGGCCATAACTCTGGAGTTACAAGCTTTAGTTTTTCAAATGATTCATTTAAGTAAGTCGCCTTTTTCTGTTCCTGTGGTCAATGGTTGCAAGATTCAGGCTTTGATGAAAAGGTCCTAAGATTGTTTTTTAAAGAGGAGAGGTGGGGTGGTTAATGGCTGAATGGGTACTGCGTTCTTGTACATGACAAGGAGTAGGGTCGCCCGTCCAACCTCGTGGATTTCTCCAGGTACCCGGATTTTCTCCCACCTCTAATGACCCCTATGCGCATGCGAATTAATGAAATAAAATTGAACCATATGTTAGTTCCGAAATGACCTAGTTTGTGTCAACTGGACGTTAAACCCCATTTCTCTCTCTCTCTCTCTGTTTTGTAATGCTAGATTCAATGCAGAGAAAAGGGTGTAAGATGTGGAGCTAGTTTATTGATTGTATTGTAATCTGACTGAAAGTTTGTTTATTTTATATCTTGTAGGGTAGCTACTGTATCTAAAGATGGTACATGGAAATTATTTAATACAGGTGGTAAGTTACTTATTTTAATCTCAAGAGATGTATCTGTTTTAATCTTCATCTTCTAAACACTAACGATATTGTTTTCATGAGCGGTTTGGCATGTGTTTATATCATAAGGTCTTTCATTGTTTTCACTGCTAAAGACTCCAGCATGCAAGTATATTATTGAACAAAGATTTTCCAAGTTGGTTCAGAATTATGTGAAACACCATTTTTTTTTTTCTCACTTGATTTCATGAATAATTAAAAATACATTATGTAACAGCTAGATCTGTCAATTGTAGGTCTTTCTAGTAGACCTGACATGTTATATTAAAGTAGCTAAGTCTCTAACTCAATATCATCCAAAGTCATACACGTGTACGATAGTGCATTTTAGCGTCATTTGCAACAAGTGACCAGAAAGAACGAGGCTAGACATTCAACTGGAGAGCCTGCTCAATAGACTGGAATGACCAGACGCTAGAAATTGCTATAGGGTTGAGACACAGGCCGTATTTTGCTGGACATAACTGATTTGAAATTATGAGTAAAAACTGTGACAAACAGTAAATGTGTGAATGCACCTTTAATCTGAAAGCCGTGTGAATGTACCTTTACTCCTTTTGTATGTCCATATAAGGTATTGCGGTGAGTGCAGGGAGAGAAATAGCCAATGAGAAGGGTGTATGACACGCGCTGGGCTGTTGTTGTTGGCGGTGAGTGAGGATGGAAGACAGGACAAGCATTGTCAGATTTTATGTAATGTAAAACTGTAATAAAGATCATTCGAAGCTGAACACCTTCTTGAGTTCGAACCAACGGTACGACAAATTGGCGTCCCCGATAGTCACGAAGGTGTGTGAAATTTACTTGTGTGAACGAGAATGAAGAACCTTCGTAAAGAAAAGTCGTTCAAAGTCGAAGAAAGAAGAAGGCCTGTGCTTCTTTACTAACAGCTCGCCGCCGAACCAGGATTCTGAGTATTGTTCGATGAATAATCAGTAACTTGTGACATGAGTTAAGCTGTGATATATTTCAAATATTTCCAGTGACGTTTTTGATAATTGGTGATTATAAGAAGTGACGATTTATTATTGTCAGTCAACTGCCAGTGAGTACAACGTTCACTCGTCGAATTGAAGATCCACCGACGAAATGCTTGAACATTTTTCCCGTGAATCGACAGTATAATAAACTCATGGTGTCTTATTTAAATTCAATTTCTATAAGAATCATTTAGTCAGCCGTTTACCAGACCACAACAGAACACTTGTGTGTTTTATGGACTTCATACCGCAATAAAATATTCAAGTATTTTATTTTCAATTTTTATAGACTCTAATTATTTTTGTCTTGAGTTTTATTTTGTTCGATTGTTGATGTTGTATGTAACGTAAATAATATGAATATTGTGTTCCTCATAATAATTGTAATGTGGTAATTTGTATATCATATTGTCATGTATGTTGATGCATTGGACTACGTGTGTGTCATTTGATTGATAGACTCTGATTGACGTTTGATATCCAGTAATAGTATTGTTTTCATCACTATATATATTTGTATGTTTGTCCATTATTTTTTCTTTTTAACATTAGTGATACCGCAAACCTCTTCGGCTAGTTGTCCGACCTTCGATTTCTGTTATTCTAATAGTAACACATTGGCTTTAATATTTAAAATGTCAACCCACGGAGAACAACTTGGGGCAAAAGGTCGTACAGAACAGGAACTTACCGAGGTTGAGAAATTACAAAACATGATGGAAAGCAGTTTACTACTGCACCAACAAGAACAGGATAGGTTTAGAAGAGAATTGGCAGATCTCCGTCAACGCTTAGCAGCTGAACAGTGGCAACCCACCACTCAATCCAACACATCCAACCCAGTCAGAGATCATTTATACATTTATTCAAAAGTGAAGGAGTTTACTGGGACATTTTCAGGTGAAGAACCTGATGTTGACATTTATTTAAAAGACTGGTTAAACAAAGTTCAAAGAGCCCTGAACAGTCCACTTTATACCCCTTATGCAGGTCAAGTGTTGTCCTTATTGCTTGAAAAACATGCAAAAACCAGCTGGGAGGCTATGCCTACTGATAAACAACACAACTATGAAGACATCATTTCTATGTTGAAAGATAAATTCGTTAGTCCTTTAGATCATCATACAACTGGAATCTTATTTAATGAAGCTAAAATGAAAGACACCGAGACATTTGAAGCTTTTGCCGCCAGGTTACAGATTTTGGCCAGAGAATATTATAATTTTGACTCTAGTGTTTTAGAAGCTATTGTTATTGATAAATTTCTATCTGCTATACCTGACTCTGTTAGAAAGTATATTTTTGAGCACACTCAGCATAAACCGAAATTGCTAAAATCTTTACCTAAAATTATCCATATTGCTAAAACTAAGACCGCATTGGAGAAGATCGACAGTCCTACTGTAGCCTCTAACCGTACATACCAAGAAGACCCCGACAGGTCACAACGTGAAAAAAGGTTACCTTCAAGCCATAACCACAGCGATTGTCCAACTCCGCAGTATTCCACCGAACAACAGCGTCACCAGTCAGGGCATCGATCACCTTCGCCAGCGAACTATGAATCCCGCCCAAGGTTTACCCACCGTCAACGGTCTCCATCCCCATATAGAACCAATTACAACCAGCCTTATGACAACTGCTATAGCTCACAAAAATCGACAAAACGTTATCAATTTTCACCAAACTCTCGTGACCATTCTCCATCCAGAAAGCTCTCGAACAGTCGAAGTTATTCACCCGCCTATGACTCAACCAGGCGATTTCGGACTCCATCTCCTCAGCGATATCAACAAATGCATCATGGTCCTTCACCACCTTATCAATATCCAGTGTATTCTGGTCATGATTATTATAGACATCCATCATCTCCAACACGTCAGTGGCTGCGTGAAGATGTTAAACCGAGTTCCCAAAATTACCTGTATCGCTCAGAGAACAACACACGATCCAGTCGTATTATCTGTCAGATTTGTGGTGGAATCGGACATATAGCAAGGCAGTGTCCCACCCCCAGGTCACATTTTTCGTCAACATGTACCAATGATGAAGATAAGTTTGAAGATACCACGATCATGAAATCTCCCCCTCTACGAATAACTACCAAAATCATTGGACAGAATACCAAGGCCCTGCTTGATGGTGGATCCGATGTTTGTTTACTTGATACTAGGGTTTTCCTGTCCCTACCAAACAATAAAAAGTATACCGTTAGTACATCAACAACCACTTTACGTGTCGCTAATTCTTCAAAATTTACCATCTATGGTGTTGTATCTCTACCAGTTTACTTTCAAGGTAGATCTAACTTCCAAACTTTTTATATTGTCAACGACCTATCAGAGAAATGTATCCTTGGTCGCAATTTTTTGGAACATAATGACATTGTGATAGATTATGGGAAACGGAAGATAGTTCGTGAAGATACTGTCATTCCAGTTTTAGAAGATAACAGAGCGCCTACAGTTAGTCGCGTTTCTCTGATATCGGATGTATCTATAGCACCCGGTGAACAGCTTATCCTTCCTGTGGGAATGAACATTACCTCCAACATTTCTTTTGACACAATCCTTGAACCATTATGTGGACTATCAGAGAAGACTGACGTTATAGTTGGAAGAACTTTAACCAGAGTTCAGGATAAGCGGGCAATGCTTATGATGTTTAACTTTGGGGATAAACACATTAATCTCTGTAAAGGCGATAATATAGCTTGGGCTACAGCTGTTACCAATGCTTCCACTGTTTATCGGAATGCTGAACCTCTTTCTACAGAATCCGAGGAACTTGTCCATAATCGTTATGTTTGTACTGATACTCCGAAACCACCAAGTCATATTACGCGAATATTGGATGGCATTTCAGCCAATGGTAACCTTACTGAACAACAGAAACACCAACTATCCACCTTAATTGCAGAATATGAAGATCTTTTTATTAAACCTGACAGTCAACCTGGACTTTGTGACAGAATTCAACACACCATTGAAACATTCACCGATCGACCAATCAGAGAACCACTTCGTCGAATTCCTCATCATCTAAAGGAGGAAGTAACGAAAATGATCGATGTTATGCACAGAAATGGTGTTATAGAGGAAAGTGAAAGCCCATGGCGATTTCCAATTGTTTTGGCAAAGAAATCCGACTCCACGTTACGACTTTGCATCGATTTTCGTAAACTCAACCAGATCACCAGAAGAGATGCCTACCCTATCCCTCGCGTGGATGAGACCCTCGATGCACTTGCTGGAAGCTATATCTATTCAGTGATCGATTTATCCCAGGGATATTTCCAATTACCTTTAGATCCAGACAGCAAAGAGAAGTGTGCCTTTGCTTCACCAGATGGAGGGTTATACCAATTCCGCAGAATGCCTTTTGGTCTAGTTAATGCCCCAGCAACTTTTACCCGGCTAATGGAGCTCGTATTGAAAGGTTTGCAATGGCAGATTTGTGTCTTGTACCTGGATGATATTGTAATTTTTTCCAAAGATTTTACTCAACACCTGATTGATTTGACGACCATTTTCACTCGACTGAAAGACGCAAACCTCAAACTTAAACCTAGCAAATGTCATTTTGCCAGCACACAGATCAAATATCTGGGACACGTTATATCCAATGGAGGGGTAAAACCTGACCCATCCAAAATTCAGGCTGTTAGAGACTACCCTGTTCCAAAAAACGTTACAGATGTTAAGGCTTTCCTTGGCCTCACCGGATATTACCGTCGCTTCATTAAAGGTTACGCAGAAATCAGCAAACCGCTCAACAAACTCACAGCTAAGGCAGTGCCCTTTGTCTGGTCAGAAGACTGTCAGACAGCTTTTCTTCATCTAAAACAATGTTTGATTACTGAGCCAATCCTCAGTTTTCCTGATTTTACGAAACAATTTGTGGTACAGACTGATGCCTCCTTACTATCTATCGGTGCCATATTGTGTCAAGTATTCGATGGCCGAGAACACGTCATACAGTATGCATCCAGATCACTATCTAAAGCTGAACAGAATTATTCAACCATTCAAAGAGAATGTCTTGCCATTATCTGGGCCTGTAAAGTTTTCAGATCGTATCTTCTAGGCAGACAGTTTCAATTAGTCACCGATCACAAACCCTTGATATACTTAAAGAAGTATAGTGGCACTAACTCCAGACTTACTCGATGGAGTCTTGATATGGAGGAGTTCGATTATACAATTTCTCATCGTTCAGGGAAACAACATGCCAACGCAGATGCTCTCTCTAGAATTCAGCCATCTCCAGATTCAGATATTATTGAATCTCACAATTCCCCAAGTACGCATGCTGTTTCGAATATTCTTAGTATGACCTCCAGTGGTGTATTCGTCTCTATGTTGTCCTCGCAAGTCCTGGAAGTTGCCCAACTTCAAGACCCGGTTATCCAGACAGTATATAAATATGTACTCTGTAAAAGAAAACCAGTTTTTACCCAAGATATACAAGTCAAACCATACCTGAAAGTTTTTGACCAACTGAGAGTAAAACGAGGAATGCTCTATAAGAGAGATGAGACACCGGATGGTAGAAACCAAGGTCTTCTTATCGTTGTCCCCAAGTCCATGATCACTGAAGTTTTAGAAGTATCCCATGATAACCCTGCTTCTGGTCACTTGGGAGAAGATCGGACTCTGGACCAAATTCGATCGCGTTTTTACTGGCCAGGCTGGAGAGAAGATGTTAAACGATTCTGTAAAACTTGTCAATTCTGTGCTTTACGGAAATCACCTACTCCAAGTAGACAGGCCCCACTTCATCCTGTTATAGCAGAAAGACCATTTCAATTGGTTTCCATGGATTTTCAGGGTCCACTTCCACGCTCAACGCGTAATAAACGTTATATCCTGGTTCTCCAGTGCAAGTTTACAAAATTTCTGGAAGCTTACGCTTTACCTAACCAAGAATCTACAACAGTTGCAGATGTCTTAATAGATCGCTTCATTCCTCATTTTGGAATACCAGAAACAATCCATACTGATCAGGGATCTTGCTTCATATCTAAACTGATGAAAGATCTATACTCATTACTTCATATTAGAAAAACGGAGACACCAGCATATACCCCAAGTTTCAACGGACAAGTTGAAAGGTCAAATAAAGTTATTGCAGAATCATTATCAGCAATCGTTAAACAGTGTTCAACTGGTAAACTATCAGAATGGGATCGTTATCTTCCACTCGTCTGCTTAGCATATAATACCACTAAACATTCATCGACTAAACATGTTCCTGCGATGTTAGTATATGGCAGAATTCCAAGGACTCCACTTGATGCTATATTTGGCACCAACACTGGAACAGCTTACCAAACAGTTGATCATTATGCCAAACAACTTACCGAAAATCTTCGAACTGCTTTTCAAGAGGTCCATCGACATACCGAATTAACAGCAGCCAGACAAAAGTCTTGGTTTGATAAGAAAATACGCGGACAAGCTTATGAAGTTGGAGATCATGTATTTCTACGTCGTATGATATTTGATGCAGGTGAATCTAAGAAATTTGCCGATCGTTGGAAAGGTCCATATACAGTCATAACAGTGTTGGGGGAAACAACTTATGAAATATTTGATGAACTAAAAAATCATAAAATTATCGTTCATTATAAAAACCTGAAACCAGCCTATATGCGAGAAGTACCAGAAAGTGAACTTATAGAGCCTGTTGACCACAATTCACTTAATAATAAATCCGAGGTGCCTCGCCATAAAACATTTGATCCAGATGAGGATATCTTGTTTTTTGCCAATGAGCCGTCATTACAACCTAACAGACCAGAGCTCCCTCTACAACAGCCAGTAGTACCTCTACGACCACCTGATCCTCAGAAGCAACCCCTACGAACAAAAATACCTAAACCAACTCTGTCTACATCGTCACCACGTCCTATATTACGCCGATCTAGTCGTAAAACAAAACCTGTAGTCAGATTTGACCCCTCTTCTTAATACATGTATCACTAATGTTATCATTGATTTTATCTCTATTTGTCGAAATCCTAGGTTAGGTATAGGCATATTTAGTTCATTTTCTTATTGCATAGTATGGGAATTAGTTTTTGTTTTAAATGTACCACTGCCAGGAGGCATTGACTTTTTAAGGGGGGAGGTGTGACAAACAGTAAATGTGTGAATGCACCTTTAATCTGAAAGCCGTGCGAATGTACCTTTACTCCTTTTGTATGTCCATATAAGGTATTGCGGTGAGTGCAGGGAGAGAAATAGCCAATGAGAAGGGTGTATGACACGCGCTGGGCTGTTGTTGTTGGCGGTGAGTGAGGATGGAAGACAGGACAAGCATTGTCAGATTTTATGTAATGTAAAACTGTAATAAAGATCATTCGAAGCTGAACACCTTCTTGAGTTCGAACCAACGGTACGACAAAAACGGAAACAGTTGAATGTAAATCAGTTTATATACAATCAGATTACATTATTATATGTGTTTCGACCCATTTGGGTCAATATCTAGGTCCCAAATATTAGCGATTTAGCTCCTTTAACTATTAATTAGACATTTATTAACATGACAAGACCATAATCAACTCTCGATGCCAGTACGGTGGTTACAATTAATGCACATATCTTGTCAAACCTTCAAAGGCTAATATCTGTGCTCGCAATAGAGTAATTTGAATGAAATTTCCGAACTATTTCTTCCTAAATATATTACATAATGTATCTTTAAATTTGAGCATTTAAGGTAACATGTCAATCTTATTAAAAACACAGATCCTATTTAGTTTCATTTTTTAAGTGCAAAATTTTGTTTTACTTGTCTTTACTACACTAGGATCTGGAAAAGTTGTTATATAACCCGGGTTCTGATTTAAGAGAGGGATTAGCCAATGAAACTGTCTGTCACCGTGACTTCTTGGCGTGCCATGTATGGAACTGGCTTAAATTGACGATATATTGAGTTAAAGGTTTGCCTCCTTTAAATCAACTTATATTTTTTTACTACTTTGTTTTTGCCTGTTATTGTTTATATCAGGGCTAATTTGTTTATATTTTGTTATTTTTAGTCAAATTTGAATTGGATCAAGAACCCAAATTATTATATACAGGAAAACTAAGTGAACCAATGAAACTGATATCGTTATCTTTAGATGGTAGAACAGTTGCTTTAGCAGGGGGAACAACTCTAATGATTGTAAATTCATCTTCTGGCAAAGTTGAAGAAATTATGAGAGATGTACACACAGGTCAGTTGTCAACTAGGCTTTGTATTTGGAGAAATTTATCCTTCATTATATTGACAGTATAAATATCGAAAACTTGACTCAATTTGGCTTTCCACAAAAATGTCTTGGATGGATTCGAATTTTGCACCTATCAGACCATACCTTCATGGATTATTGACCCTGATTGTACAAAAAACCTCACTGTTTTAGCTTGTGGACCTAGAAGTCACAATTTTCAAAAACATCACCATGACACTATAATTACAAATGAATTCAAATTTAGTGTTTAGTGCCTCCATATCAGAAAACTTCCTTGGATCATGGCCCCTTATTGTATATTGTATGCTTTTCTATTTAACTTGTTTTCTGTCTATCTCTTGGTTAAATGTAGGGATATCTTGCATGGCAACTGCTTGTTAATTTAATTTTCAGAACCCATTTTTTTTTATATTTTTTTATTGAGAAATTATTTTTGTGTTAAATATTCAGAACCTATTGTTTGTATATTTTGAAAGTATTTTTAATTTATATTTTCAGAACCTATTGTTTTTATATTTTTTTAATTGATATTTTCAGAACCTATTGTTTTTATATTTTTTGATTTATATTTTCAGAACCTATATGTGCCTTATCGTTTGATGTTAGTGGTAAATATTTAGCAACAACAGGAGATAGATTTATACAGATATTACATAATATAACTGGTTATAGAGCTACAATACAAGATTTACAAGAAAAAGAACGAAATGCTACAACAGCTGGAATGAAAGATAGATTAAAACAACAAATAAAAGAAGCTAGGTAAAGTAAAATTAGTATAGGGAGCATGGGTGACATGCGATGTGGAACTAACAATTTGGTCTGTAAAAACAGCAATGGAAGCAATTTGTCCATTTTCTAGCAACAGATCTTTTGTTGATGGTTTATTTTCCGAGTACTTCCATAATGCCATGTTCCCACTGTCGTGCGATGCGTTAAGATAGGAGTGTGCCTATTGAGCCCATGATCTGGTACGTGCAGATACGACCAGATGTGTTTCGATGCGATCAACATAAGACCTGATAGGATCATCAAGATTAAAACCACGATTTCAACTGTAGCATGAATCAGGATAGTGGGAACATAGCATTAGTAATAAAGGCACTGGTTTGCTGAACTGGATGTCATGAGTTCCGTGTGGTTTCCACTTTTCAGTGGTGCACGATGAAGGGTCTGAAAAGAATAACGTCTAGTCATTCAGAGGGGACAAAAAACATCCCCCAAAGCCCTTTGTACACATTATCTCACTAATTGATCTAAATAGAGTGGAGGCCGACGAATATATAACAAACTAAAACGGAATTTAGTGTATCGGAAATTGTAGATTAATACAAAACGTTGATCTAAGAAGATGCAAGTTCAATTATTTTAAATTTCTGAGCCTCATCTTATAGATGAGGTAACAATATAGGATGGGATATAGCAATCTAAGGGATGAAGCTTTTGCCAGACAGTGCAATGCTGCTTCTGTGGGTAGATCTATTTGACCAAACGCATCATTTCCTTAAGGTCACGAGATGTATACAGGGCTAGCTCTAACCCTAACCAAAGACCTACATCTATGCCTTACACTTACCCTAACCCACAATCCTCTGCAACAATCACATGCCCTAACCCTGTTTACATCTTGTGACCTTGGGGAAATATGCATTTGGCCTTGTCAAATAGTTCTGGCCCTGCTTCTACCTACTCTTTATTGAATTTAAAACTGTCAAAGGTTATTTTACATGCACACCAATGTGTTCAGGGAAAACCTCATTTTATTTTATATATCCTAAAAATCCCAGAAGCATTTAGTCCAGCAATCTGATTTAAATACAGATCTATATTTTGTTTCATTTTTTTTTACTTTCGATAACCTACAATACATGAAGATCTGACAAGTTGTTGACGTCAGACATTTGATTAACCAATCAGCATTGATGTTACTAGTGGATGACCCAGTTCCGTGCAAAACATACCTAAAGCTCGCCGTAACAGACCGTTTCATTGGCTAATACCTCACACCATTCAGAACACATCAATGACAACAACTCTTCCAAATCCTAGTGTAGTAAAGACAAGTAAAACGAAATTTTGAACTATAAAAACGAAACGAAATAGGATCTGTGTTTTAATCAGATTGTTAGTTCAGAAACTTAGGATGACAAAAGAAAGACAAAGCTACTGATGGTCATATATGTAATAATTGTTTAAAGGCTCAATACCACTCATGTTGTAACTGAATAATATGTCCGAATCTTTATTCTGGTCAACAAATTGTACTATTTTACAATATTTCAATTAATTGATGATACAAATTTCATCTTAACACACCTTATTTAAAATTTTTGAAAATTCAACATAATGGTTTGAAACGTCTAACGTAAACCTTTTCAAATGAAACTTTGATTTAAAAATATTTTCGAACCCTCTGGACAAGTAAAATAGGATATAATGGATAATTTACACAACAGGTAGGACACTTAAACATCTAGTACTTAGATAGAGATATTATTTATTTTCTGGAGCTTTCAAGCCAGCAAGAGTGTTATTGTCCCTTTAATAAAACTTTAAAATTTACCTATTTTTCAGAGACTCGTTATGCATAATCATGGGTAATGAAAATGGTCAGGCACAGAATGGTCAGTCAAAATAATACCAGCCAACACTTCATCAAAATACATCAACTATTTTATTTGTTTTAAAAAAATAAAAATCATCTCTTATTCTATTTAAACATTATTGTTGTAGTTATGTTATAAACAGTCAGGGGTCACGGTGGGTAAGTGAGAAAGACGCTGGTTCGCTAGCTTGGAGGTCGGGTGTTCGATCCCTGCATATGCCAAGAAAGTTAACCCAGAATTTCTGGCGTAGTTCCCCCTTGTCAGTGATGCAGGACGAGGGGGGGGGGGCCTGACAAGGAGGACAGCTGTCTATTCATTTGGAGGATATGAAAAACTGAGGTCCCGTGTACACATTGGCATGCACGTAAAAGATCCCTTGACAGTTGGAATTCGATAAAAGAGTAGGCCGTAGTGCCGCTGTCCTAGAAAAATTTCCTTCATAGCACACTGCATGGCATATGCCTGTCTTCATTAGCCCAAATCGGAGTAGGACGTTAAATTTCATTTATAAACAGAGAGTTTAGAATCAGTGTAAAGAGTAACGTACACTCGACACAAACTATGTCATTTCAGGACAAACATATGGTTCAATTTTATTTCCATAATTCACTTGCTGACAGGGGTCTTTAGCCATGGAAGGAAACTGTAGGATCCGAAGAAAACCTGCGGATTTGAACAAGCGACCCTATTCCTTGTCACGTTCTAGTGGTTAATCGAAACCAAGCCATTTGACTCAACGACAGATCTTGTGATTGAACGCTGTTGTTGGAAACAGAGGGACACATAGAAAACCCAAGCTACCACACACCTTGTCATTACAAGAGAGGATCAAAACCGCCACTTGACTTAATGACAGACCTTACAGGCTAACACGCATGCATTAAACCATTCAGCCACTCCCCCCCCCCCCCATCTTATAAGGTAATGGGTTACAATAATCTCTTATTGCCTCTTGTTCAGTAACCTGTAAGCCAATAATTGAAGACCCACACCCCTCAACATGGTTCCCCTTACTTTAATAGTCAATCTGTTGTCCTTTCACGTTGAAAACCAGTCTTCCCCCACCCAAATGTCCCCAGAAAATAGATTTTCTTCACAAAATAAACTGTTTTTAATCATTCGCCTAATATTCAGACAATTTCCACCAGAGTTATAAATGACATTATAATATGATAAGTTCCAAAAATGTTGTGATCGACCCACCAAATAAAGCTAAATTCGTCAGGAGCATGCCCATTCATCACCACCTTCTGAGGTGAGAATGCTCCAATGGATGGCCGAATTGTTAGCTTGTGCGCGTTGTATCGTACAGTCTGTCATTGAGTCAACTGGCATGGTGTCATTCCCCGGTTGTACATGACAAGGAGCAGGGTCGCCTGTCCAACCTCGTGGTTTTTCTCTGGGTCCTCCGGTTTCCTCTCACTTCTAAAAACCCCTATGCGCAAGCGAATTATTGAAATAAAATTAAACCATATGTTAGTCCGAAATGACCGAGTTTGTGTCGAGCGGACGCCAAACCCCATATCTATCTCTCTCTCTCTCTCTCTCTCTCCCCGAATGAAGTCAAAATATCAACATTTTCTGGCAGACATACTCCAATTTATAATGCTTTTTTCTTTTTTTTTTTTTAAACAATATAATGCTTGGTGAACATGGACTTGTATGTTTAAATACATGGTTGAAGCTAGTAACAGGAGCATTTGGATCCCGAAATAAACTGTCCTATTCCAATAGGGCTTTATTCCTCTACCATGAGTAGTTAGTGGGCAGTCTGGGCAATATGTTCCTCCTTAGCAGTACACGCCTAGCCATAGAACATAAATAAGTCTCTTGCTGTCTTCTACAGTGTCATTTGTTAAAGAAAGGACGAGTCACAGTGGCTAAGTGAGTAAGACGCTGACTCGCTGGCCTGGAGGTCGCGGGTTCGCTCCCGGTGTTGTCCGAGAAAGTTCATCAGGATTTTCCGGCGTGGTTTCTCCTTGTCATCGGTGATGGACGGAGGGATTATATCCGAAAGGACAGCAAATCATAGGCGCTCTTAGGAAGGAGTTCATGACAAAAATATTATTTATTTCATAATATAAATTAACATAAGATAAAAGTCAACAATGCTGCATAGTTTAGTATTGTTCGATGTTTTCTTCTCCTTCACCTTCAACAGAGTCCACACCAACCTCTTCATAATCTTTCTCTAGAGCAGCCAAATCTTCTCTAGCTTCAGAGAATTCGCCTTCTTCCATACCTTCACCAACATACCAGTGGACGAAAGCCCTCTTAGCGTACATCAGATCAAATTTATGATCCAGACGAGCCCACGCTTCAGCAACAGCAGTAGTGTTACTCAACATACAAACTGCTCTCTGTACCTTGGCTAAATCACCTCCTGGTATAGCAGTTGGTGGTTGGTAGTTGATACCCACTTTAAAACCAGTTGGACACCAGTCAACGAATTGGACAGTTCTCTTGGTCTTGATGGTGGCGATGGCAGCGTTGACATCCTTGGGAACAACATCTCCTCGGTACAACATGCAACAGGCCATATATTTACCATGACGAGGATCACATTTTACCATCTGGTTCGCGGGTTCAAAACAAGAATTGGTGATTTCAGCCACGGTCAGTTGTTCATGATAGGCTTTCTCAGCTGAGATGACTGGGGCATAGGTAACAAGAGGGAAATGAATACGTGGGTAAGGAACCAAGTTAGTCTGGAACTCGGTCAAATCGACGTTAAGTGCGCCGTCGAACCGGAGAGAAGCGGTGATGGAGCTAACAATCTGTCCAATGAGTCGGTTTAAGTTGGTGTAGGTCGGACGTTCAATATCCAAGTTACGGCGACAGATGTCATAGATAGCTTCATTATCAACCATAAAGGCACAGTCAGAATGTTCCAAGGTGGTGTGAGTGGTCAGGATAGAGTTGTAGGGTTCAACCACAGCAGTGGAAATTTGTGGTGCTGGATAAATGGCGAATTCTAACTTAGATTTCTTTCCATAGTCGACACTCAGTCTTTCCATTAGAAGAGATGTGAAACCAGAACCGGTTCCACCACCAAAACTGTGGAAGACGAGGAATCCCTGAAGACCAGTACATTGATCAGCCAATTTCCTGATTCTGTCAAGGACCAAGTCGACAATCTCTTTACCAATTGTGTAGTGACCTCGAGCGTAATTATTGGCGGCATCTTCTTTACCAGTGATGAGTTGTTCTGGGTGGAAGAGGTGCCGGTATGTACCGGTTCGAACTTCATCCACAACCGATGGTTCCAAGTCCACAAACACAGCTCTTGGTACATGCTTCCCAGCACCGGTCTCACTGAAGAACGTGTTGAAAGCATCGTCACCTCCTCCAATGGTTTTATCTGAAGGCATCTGACCATCAGGCTGGATACCATGTTCCAAACAGTACAACTCCCAACAGGCGTTGCCCATCTGGACTCCGGCCTGACCGATATGAACAGAGATACACTCACGCTGAAAAGATATAATAATAATATAATAAAAAGATAGCAAGAATAATGTTGATTTAAACAACGTATTCACGGAATGTCGAAACAGGCCTATGGCTGATATAAATCGGCTTTCGGTGAGGTTTCATAAAAATGAACCAACCAAAGATACCTTACACAGACTTCTCAAGAACGGTAACGCGGGGTTCATAACAGTCAACAGACACTTTATAATCCAAATTAGAAATACTTGGCAAATATTGTTTCGTCCAAAATGCTATCTGATGTGCTTACCTAAACAGCTTAATGAAACAAAGAACTATATGTATACACCATAGACAATCTAAAATCAAAGTCTGATTAAAACACAGATCCTATTTCGTTTCTTTTTTTTGGGGGGGGGGGGGAGATCACGTGGCTAAGTGGGTAAGACGCTGGCTCGCTAGCCTGGAGGTGGGGTGTTCGATCCCTGCATTGGCCGAGAAAGTTCACCCAGATTTTCCGGCGTGGTTTCCCCTTGTCAGTGGTGCAGAACGGAGGGTCTGACAAGGACAGCTATCTAGTCGTTCGGACGAAAACCCGAGGTCCCGTGTACATATTGGCGTGCACGTAATATGGGCAAAATTTCCCTCATAGCACACCGTATGGCGTATGCCCGTCTTCATTAGCCCGGTTTAGGAGCAGAACAGTAGGACGTTAAACCCCATTTCATTTCATTTCATTTCGTTTCTTTTATTAGTTCAAAATTCAGTTCTATTTGTCTGTACTACACTAGGATCTGGAAGGGTTGTTATATAATATGCGTTCGGAATGGCGTGAGGGATTAGCCAATGAAACCATCTGTTACGGCAACTTCTTGGCGTGCGATGCACGGAACTGTGGGTAAACCATTAGTAACGTCAACCCCCTGACGCGACCTCCCAGTACAACTGGTCAGATCTCTTTGTATAAGTCGAAAGTATAAAAAAACGAGCAGAACAGTAGGACGTTAAACCCCATTTCATTTCATTTCATTTCGTTTCTTTTATTAGTTCAAAATTCAGTTTTATTTGTCTGTACTACACTAGGATCTGGAAGGGTTGTTATATAATATGCGTTCGGAATGGCGTGAGGGATTAGCCAATGAAACCATCTGTTACGGCAACTTCTTGGCGTGCGATGCACGGAACTGTGGGTAAACCACTAGTAACGTCAACCCCCTGACGCGACCTCCCAGTACAACTGGTCAGATCTCTATGTATAAGTCGAAAGTATAAAAAAACGAAACGAAATAAAGATCTGTATTTTAATCAGATTGTTCAAATTAATTTCATATGTGCAAAAATGAAATTTGGATTCACCAACTGGATTAGCGATGATGGGCAATACATCATGCATAAGCTATAGATATGAGGGAAAGTTTGCACCGGCAGCTGCGTAAGACATGGTTCCCCCTCGTCACCGGTGCAGGACGGGGGCCCGACAAGTAACAACCGAGGTCCCGTGTATATATTGGCGTGTAAAAGAACCTTTGAGGTTGAAATTCGATACAAGAGTAGGTTGTAGTGCCGCTTTTTGGGCACAGTCGTATGCTCTGCCGCACCAAATATCCTAAATGTCATACATGTACACAATATATATAATATAAACTTACCATTTTGAAGATAAATCTGTGCTCACAAAGACAAGAA